AAGTTAGCATAGAGGGTTCAGCAAATGTGTTGGAGCACATTTAGATATAGAGGGTATGGTGTTCTTCCTCAAGACATCTCTGCAAACTCTAGGTAAAATGGATTTCACCTTATATTGCATTTCACATTTAATATGAGTCAGATCACTTTAATTATACTAAGGATCAAACTGTGAGTGACACTCCATAAAACTTTACTTGGAAAGCCTGCTTTCTGTGTAGCGCCTTCATTATAAGTGGCCAGAGTACCATAAAGTCATAGTAGCAGCCACAGGACACAAACTCAGGGTCCATGCAGAGATTAGCCTGGGAGGTTTTCTGAGTCTTCTGCAGATGGTTCAAACACCCCTATAACCTTCCAAGAAGATACAAATGTGACTTTATGAATTAGAAAACAATAATCAGAGAAAACAGAGACTAAGCACAGACACGGGAATCCACGGACAACAGCAGGTAGAGAGAAGTGAGAAAGATGAATAATAAACAACTCCCCTCAAAAAAGAAATTTGTTGATTAATTCAAATGCTAAAACATTTGAAGGACAATTAAAATAGTTATGTGGAAAGCATGGCAAAGGGCAAACATATCAACAATAAGGGAAATCAAATGAAACAGGAATGGTGTGTTTGAAAGATTCAGCTGGAGATGGCTGTGACTTCAACTTCTCATATTTAATATTATCTTCATGAGATGGACCCCCCCCTCTAAGAACCATGAAACCCATACTTATGTTTAGAAATGGAACTTTTCTCTTCTGTGATTGCACTTACATGATTTTATAAACTGCATTTCTCAGTTGAAATATTGCATGTTCTAAACATACACATTGGAGCTTTTTTTAACATTCATGTCTGACAATATGTGGTGTTCCTTTAAGAGTCTTTTTTCTAATGATTTCTTTTTTTCTTTATCCTCTCACAACAGGCTTTTATTCTAAAGCAGACTTAGCCATATACAATAGGGACTTGAGTCATATGAAAGTAAACAGTGAATCAGAAATAGTCAGGTAAAAAAGATAAATGCTGTGAGACTTTGGGAGAAAAAAATAAAGGAAATGCAAAAGCAGAATAAGCAATATATGGGCTATGAAAGAAGCTGGCCCATACATGGAATTGTGTCCTATAAAGATAAGATAAAAAGAGCCTGCCTCAGGCAAGGGCAACGTGTAGAAGACATTGGGTAAAAAATTTTGAGAAATTGTGGATTTTAAGCACTATAAAAAGAATGCTACTTTAAAGATTACCATGTAGCAATCCCCTAATATTCAGTGTCTACAAGTCAGATGAACATTTGCATTCTCATTGGAGAACAATGCTACTTTTTGGATAAAATCACATCTTCCTAAAAGACTCCAGAGCAGTCTTGTTCTGACTGTTCCTGCAGACTCACCTGGCCAGCTCAGCTGAAGCACAGGCTGCCACAGGAAGCAAGTGGGACTTTGTCCTTCAATTAGTGCCTCATGTGCCATTGTCCAGTAAGGAGGCTTAGATGAGTTTCCAGTTTAATGGCTACCAAAGGGCAACAGATTAGTCATTTCATTGTTTACAATTCTGGTGATTTCAACTGAGTACAAATGTTATAGGGTGCATGGTTTCATGGTGCTTGTATTTTTCTGAGCTTCTTATTTGACAAAAATGGTATTAGGTGTCCAGGCTATCAAATTTCATTTACAAATGGACACCACACATATACTGTGAAAAGAAATCATGACCAGTTAACTAGAGAATGTAATTGTTATGTGAATTACATAAATAATCTAATGATGACATCAAATGCCAGGGTCTCCAATGCTTTCATTCACTTCAGATGATACTTTGAATAGAGGCATCACAGGGAACTCATTCCATCAAACTTCCCTTCTACATATCTTCCCTTCTTCTTTGGTTCATACTATGGCACAATATCCCTTGCCATTTTCCTCTTTTGAATGGTCAGATGAAGTATGAAAGCATCATTCAGGCCTTTCCATTCAGTGCTGGTTTTGAACAGAGCTTATTTCTATTGGAGGCTGCATCATACCATAAGATCAATGTATGGCTAGGTTTTCAGTTGTTAATCAATCTGAGCCTTAAGATTTTATGTAAATAGCAATGCTGCTGGAGCATTCTTGTGCATGGGAGTAGATATTAGAGGGACAGTGCAGGAGTGAAGTTGAAAAAAGGGGTCCTTCAGCATTGTCGGATCTCATACTCACCTCATGCTGCCCTGTGGAAAAGACGTTGCACCAGAAATACCAGGGTACATGCCCCCCTACTCATATGTCTACTACTAGAACTTGACAAATGCACATGTTCTGAATTTGGCTGTGCCCTGTGTGGCTCTCTAGATCTTTTTTCACCTTGACTTGCAGTTTTTCATAATTTGTAAAACACAGCTCTCACCTCAGAGGAAGAGGTGATTTATTCTGGATCCAAATATGAGTGGCCCAGGAACATGGATTCAGGTTACTCTAAATAACATATTCCAATGTGTAAAAGGTTTTATGAAGTTTTTATAGCTACATAATAAAAGGAAATCATAAATCAAGGCACTTTGAAAATGCATTGGTAGAAACTTTAGGTTACTGGCAGATAAATCTGTGTTACAGGTTTCAGGTGTTATCTCATGACAGTTTTAGCTTTTAGGTTGTTCGAAGCTAATAATCTATTAAGTTGATGAATCCCAAAGGATTTAATTTGATAGTAGCAGACACAAAAGGGACAAGTGGATATTAAAGGGAATAAAAATGACCCAAAATAATTGGCTGTGGATTTGCATCATTCCAACTTTCCAAAATCAGAATGTCCTAACCAGTCAATCAACCTTTTAGAAGCTTCAGCACAGTTGTAGCTTTTCTCTAGGACAGTCCACAGAATATTCTTTTCATTGATCCTTTCCCAGTTATGCAGGTGACAAATATTTGTTTAGTTGTTGTTTTGCTTTTCCTTTGTATACTAGATTAAAAGAACTCTATACTTAATGTACTGTAATTCAATACGGCCAATGATATTTTGCTTTCAGAATTCTATTTCCTAAAGTCATAAATATATTCTTGGTGTGAAACTGTTATTCTTTTTTAGAAGCTCCCCATCCCCAGCCCTCACTGGCTCTGGCTCTAAATCATGTTTACTACTTAAGAGCTTCTGTTGGTGCCTGGGCTTATGACTCTCTTCCCATATGCTGTAATCTAGACGCTAAAGCTTAGTTTCTTTTCCTATTTATTACTTGCCTAAGTGGATCTTACCTTCTATGTGATTTCTACCTTAGTCCTTGCTGTTCATAGCCCTGGCTTTGGGGGGCATTGATTTTCTATAGATTTCGATAATTACTTTGTCAAATACTATAAATATCTTGTTATAATTTTTATTGAAATGAGTTCACTCACTTTATCCACCATATAGTTTTCTTTTTATTTAGCTGACTCTACTACATTACAATATAATTTTATATTCACTGAAAGTAAACACTATCAATATTCTCAGTACAATTTTCTCATCCTTTGACAAATTGATTTTCAGAAAACATCTTTGTTCATATAACAAAATATATTAAAATTATATTTTGATGTACATTTCATGCTTTACATTGGTGATGTAAAGAAGTATATATCAATGTATCAATTTTATATCAAGTTTTCTGGTTATGCTCTGCTGTTACTTCCAACAGTGTACTTATACATTTCATTATATTCATGATATTTCATTGTGTTGGTATGATGATTGATCTCAATCACCAACTTGAGATTTAGGATCGCCATGGAACCACACCTTTGAATGTGTCTATAAGAGTGTTTTCAAAAAATGTTTAGTTAAAGGTGTAAGATTCACACTAAATGTGGCAGCACCAATTGGTGGGCTGGGGTTCTGGACTGAGTAAAAGGAGGAAGTAATAGCCTGAGTAATAGCATCCAATACTCTCTGCTTCCTGGCTGTGAATGTGATGCTGCCTCAGGGTACTGATGAGGTCCATACTCTCCCTGACATCATGGCTGTGTATCATCTCAAACGCCCTTCCTTCCTTCAGTTGCTTCTTGTCAGATATTCAATCATTTTAATGAGAAAACTAACTAATACAGTTGGCTTTCGTGTTCACTAAAGTGCCCACACCCTCTTGGACAAGATGGCCCCAAAGCTGACATGAGACCACATAAGGTGCGTTTTCCTCATTCCAGAACACTGTGACTGAGACTGGCCATGCTTTTTTTTTTTTTTTTTTTTTTTTGGTTTTTCAAGGCAGGGTTTCTCTTGTGTAGCTTTGCGCCTTTCCTGGAACTTGGTAGCCCAGGCTGGCCTTGAACTAACAGAGATCCGCCTGCCTCTGCCTCCCGAGTGCTGGGATTAAAGGCGTGAGCCACCACCGCCCGGCCCTGTCCCTGTCCGTGCATTTTTATCTGTAGATTTATTTTAGAGTAAAGACCAACACTTTGCATTTTAGGGCATGATTTTAATGTTGTTTTCCTCATTCCAGAGCACCACAGCCGAGACTGGCCATGCCTTTTTATTCTTAGATTTATTTTAGAGTAAAGACAAATGTTTTACATCTTAGGACATGATTTTAGTGTTATGAAAAGTGAATTTTATCTTTGTCTACATTTTTCTGGTTTATTTTATCCATTTTGTCTAAAGTTCATCCAGGCACATGAAATGAATTTTACTTTGTTATTGTGAGTTAAGAAGAGTAATAAAATTCTTGATATTTTAACATAAAACTATCTTTGTCTAAAGTTCCTACTGTGAGAATATATACAGTTGGGCATGGTGGTACACATCCCAGCACTCAGGAAGCAAAGACAGGAAGATCACTATGAGTGCAAGGCCAACCTGGTCTACAAAGCCAGTTCTAGGACAGTCAGGGCCACAGTGTGAGAGACCTTGTCTCAAAAACTCCAAAATCTGACAGAAATTTTTATGTAGTGTCTCCCCCTTCACAGTCCTGCTCCCTTTACTGATCATTTACTGTTGCTTTCCCTTTGAGAACAACTGAAGCAGTTTTGTGTGGTCTTCTCAGTAAAACAGCAGGTAGGGTGCTCGCTTCGGCAGCACATATACTAAAATTAGAACAATACAGAGAAGATTAGCATGGTCCCTACACAAGGATAACAAGCATGAAGAGCAATACAGCATCACCAGAACCTAGCCCGCCTCCAACATCTAGACCTGAACATCAAAAATTGGAAGAAGCAGAAGAAAACAGCCTTATGAATAACATCATGAAGAAGGTAGAGGCTTGTGTAGAGGAAAAGACAAAAAAACGGGAAGAACGCTGTAAACAACTAGAGGAAAGGGCAAACAAATTAGAAGAAAACAATAAA